CAAAGGTGGGCGCGCAGGAAGGCAAATTTTATGACAGGCAAATTTCACACGATGAATTTTACCATTTAGTGCGTCAGAGTACCCTTTAGAGTTGGCAAACCGATTGGGGCAATGGAAATTTTGGACGGTGGTTACATTCAATTATTCCTAATGTTTCTTCGAGAGCGTGGTTCAAAGGCTTGGACTTAAGTCGTGACTTCATTCGCGTGATGAGTAGACTTATGTCCAACCACTACTTGCTAGATGCTCATCTCATTAGAATAAACCTCGTGGACAGCAACATCTGTCGGTGTGGAAGCGGTTACGATGTCATCGATCACGCAGTTTGGCAATGTACGGATAATGACGCCGCCAGAGAGCTTCTTTTGAATACCTTCGAAACCCAAGGAAGACAACCCTATGTTCCTATCAGAGACGTGTTGGGAACTCGCGATATCTGCTATATGCAGTCGGTTTATGTGTTTCTTCAAATGTCTGTTATAGGAATTTAATTCCTTTGTCTTTTGTCTATCTTTAATAGTTTTTGTTTGTCTTGTCTCCCCGTCTCGATGAATCTCATCGTCGCCCACTGGTCACCATAGCCGGAAATCTTCATGTTTCAGTCCGTGAAACTCCTAGTTCAGTTGATTTTCCTTTCATATTTTCACATTGTTCAGGTTAAGTTGTTCAACACTTGACACAGCGAAAAATAAACACGTCCACTCGTGGTGATCCATGCCATTTAGGAATTTAGTAGTCTAATATAATCTAATCTAATCTTATAAAAACGCAGCCAGTACGAGAAAGCATCCTGGAAAATGATTAGGTTAGATGAGGTCTAATAATTTTTCTTGTCTAATTGATGTTTACATCATATCTGAGATATGATATAAACATCAATACGGCCAGGCCTACTGCGTTGTATTTGCCGCAAAGATGATTCTTGGAAATGAATGGGAACATTTCTAGAATCTACAGGGGAGAAAGGATGCGTGGACATACCGTACCAAACGCCCCGAGTTACTATGTGTAGTTGTGTGTAATGTGTAAATATTCGTACAATATTGAAGAATCATAAAATAATGCAATGGAAGGATCTTACCGAAAGATGGAGGCGAACCAGCCCAAGGCTGAAAGCCTCATTAATAAAGTTAAATAATAATAATAATCTTACCGAATTTTCTCCTATGTTGGTAATGATTCTTGGCACGCACGCACGTACTCATGACTATAAACTGCCCAAGTAACCATAGGCACAGCTGAACAACGTTTATATCAGTGTTTGTATGTTCTGATGAGGCTCGCATATAGCCAAAGAGGCGAAATAACGTGCCTATGGTTGCTTGGGTGAACATCATATGATAGATTCCTCGAAATGAACTAAACTTATCTTTGTTTGCTTCTTCCGTCATGTTGAATGGGTGAACCTTTCAAATCCCCATACTCCAGGTTTTTGACGATTCCCAGTGGCTGCACATTTCGGGAAACCTAGCAGAATAGAGCGAAACATTCATATTGGCAACCCTCTGCTTCGTGCCCCACAAGCCAGCTGCTCATGCTACCCGGCAAGAGCTTTGAATCTCACTCATCTTGCACATAATTCACACGCGTTTCTGTTATGCACTTTTCAACATTGATTTAAAAGCTTCGCGACACTTTACAAGCATTACAGCGTTAAAATAAAAATTGATAAAGCAGAGTAGAAACGCGCGAAGAAAAATTCGCAGCAAAAATTCATGCCATTTAGGAATCTAGTAGTGTTCAAAAATTGGAAATCTCTTTTCAAGTATTCCGTCAAACGACCCATTCGGCCAAATGGCGTTCGGCCAAAAGGCCGGACACCGCTAAAACGGCTTGTTTACCGATGCGACAAAACCAAATATTGAATTTACTATGTGACATGGTTCATTAAACAATAAGACTGTTGTCTTAAAAATGTTGCAAAGTGGCATAAAATTGCATTTTGTTTACTTTTGCTTTTCCAATCTTGTTGTTCAATTTAATCACTGATTATAAATCCTTAAAGTGTGCAGAAAAAAAAACTGGTTTTGTTTGGCGTAAAATTATTGATTTTCTATTTGTGTAGAAAAATATTATGAGTATACGTATGTGGTTTAATTCCATGATTCAACAGCGACAACGACGAAAGAATTTCATTGCATAACCGCTGATTTCAAATTTGGAAATTATTAGACAGCATGTTGTTCACATAACTATTGCTCGAGGTGATTTAACTCGAGTAACAGTTAAGAGCATCATCATCATCAAATTGAAGGGTGTATTCGTAAAAAATGGCACCCACAAACAACTGAAACTTTTTAACTATTATAACAAATGACTTGAAATTTTCAGTGAAGAATGCTTAGTCGATAACGGACAAATGTAATTTTTATGAGGGTTAGAGAGGTTCTAACCCTCATAAAAATTACATTGGTCCGTTATCGACTAAGCATTCTTCACTGAAAATTTCAAGTCATTTGTTATAATAGTTAAAAAGTTTCAGTTGTTTGTGGGTGCCAATTTATACGAATACACCCTTTAATTTGATGATGATGCTTAGGGATATCATTCTGCTGAGTTGCACGAAAAAGTTTATGTTAGATTTTTTTCTTGTAAAAGTGCTCGTGTTGGAATTGGAAACATGTTGATAATTGTCTGTTTTTCTATAAAAAAAAAATCATGATTTTTAAAAATGACGGTTTTGAGAAAAATCATTTTTAAATTAAAACTTTAAATTCAGTATTTTTTCAGTGTAGGAATGATATTTTTATTTTTTTTTAAGGGCAAAAACAATTCCAAAAACAACCACTGTAGAAATGACACTGATGAAGACTGCACATTGCGGCAGATTTGTTAATGAAAATGTACGCACTGTGTTCTGGTTGGCAAGAAGAATGCAGTGAACACAGTTTCATGAGCAACATTTTGGTTTTAAACGAAACATTTGCAGGAGTTGAATTTTTTGAAAAAGATTCTGCGTTCCATTGCATCTTAAAACTTCGAAATAAATCATCAGATTTCCTAGCAAAAATCACTTCACCATTATTACGAAACTAATCTATCTATCTAGGGTAAATGATGGGTTCGGCAGCCATCGACTGTTTTCGGCAACCACAATTTAAACGTTAATTTCGCTGTATTTTCTCACTAAAACACTTCGCTGAATGTATTTAAACGATTCCTTAGTCTTTCAGGCTCAATCCTAATACATTTTTACGACTGAAAAAACCTGTTATGTCAGGTGTTTCTTCAAATGAAACATAAGCACATGAAAATACGGCAGATTTCGAGTCGCGATAATAGAACAACTGGTTAACACACAGTTCAAACGGAAAGGTTGCCGAAGTAAAAGAGGCTGCCGACAATAGTCACACTCACCTGAGAAGTTTGGAGTGCCTTAAATACGTTTTCAAATCATTTTGGACAGTTCTGTCGATTGGAATGGATAGAGTAGCTAGCAGCAGATAAATGTAAACAAACAGACACGTCATATGTGTGCGTGACACTGAGGAAATGCTAATAGAAGTGCGGAAGCTGCTTAGATTGCCGAGAATACGTAAATTCCCCTATATATATATAAAAATGAATTTCTGTCTGTCTGTCTGTCTGTCTCTCTGTCTGTCTCTCTGTCTGTCTGTCTGTCTGACCCTTATAGACTCGGAAACTTCTGAACCGATTGTCGTGAAAATTTGTATACAGGGGTTTTTGGGGCCGTGAAAGGTTCTTATGATGGTTCGAGACCCCTCCCCCTTCTGTAAGGGGGGGATCCCATACAAATGAAACAGAAATTTCTGCATAACTCGAGAACTAATCAAGCAAATTGAACCAAATTAGGCATGTGGGGGCGAGTGTGGGGGTATAAGGAGATAATCATAGGGGGTAGCCCCTTAGATAATAGGGGAGGAGGGGCTACGTACAATATAGCATGCTTTTTTTAAATCGGCGCATAAACTCAAGCTTATATTGAATCCCGAGCAAGACCGGGCACACTCAGCTAGTACTGTATAAAACGAGTTCATCGCTGAAATGATTATCAGTGTGCCGGAAATGCAATTGCGCTGCCGTAAATAAATGGGAGTATCCGGATACGACCACTCATGCGAGTTTAAGGTAACGCACGAGCTGAAAAACTCAAACGAGGACAATAAGTGTATAGTTCGAGGGGCTAGAACCTAGATTCGTCAGCACGGGATATGCATTTAACAATTGCAATTACAAGTACAAATGATTGTGTGTATTAAAGAAATATTGATAATTATATAAATTATGAAGCAAATTGGCCTGTCCAAGTTGTGCTTTAGTCTACATAAAACATATACAAGATTTAGGATTTGAAAAAAAAAAAAAGATTCTGAGTCTTCAAAAACTGTTGCCCACTCGATTTTCGACTTCGAAACCGGCCTTCGCCCTTTTATAGAGATGCATTTTTACTGGGTTATATTTTTCAAAAAATGAATCGGTACATACCACCTTCTACTCGCTTTAGCCTTTTTTCCCTTTGGAACCATCCATAAATGACGAAGCTCCCCCTCGTTGCGTATTTTGCTATACCTAATACAAGGCCAGTCACAACTTCTGAAAAACCATCTAATGCTACATCATTGATTCATGTTCCCTTAGAAATCATCTTTCTCAGAAGTTAATTAGCGAAAAGAGATATTATTGGGTCACTTGAAAATAAAAAAATAGTATTCCTTCCACTTCAATTAGGGGCTGTCCATAAACTACGTAGACAGTTTAAGGGGGGGGGGGGGGTTGACAATTATCCACGGCCCATACAAATTTTAATTTTTTTGTATGGACACTTGTCTACGCAGGGGGAGGGGGGGGGGGTCAACAATCCCAAAAAACTGTCTACGGAGTTTATGAACAGGCCCTTATACAAACATTTAAATGCAAAGTCAATAAGCCCGTGAATTGTTCAATATAATGAGCTTAATTTCCTGTCCATTGAACCAAAGACAAGCATTTATATTCTTTTGACACAATTGCGATGTTTTTTTTTGTTCTGTCTTTTTCAGTACATGTAAATCGGACAGTGCTTTACGCACTTTCGCCAACAGCTATCGCCCTCCGAGAGGAAGCGATAAAATTCGTACTGCATCCGGGCCGTGTGTGCTCCCCCGTCACGAAGACGTAATGCTGATGAACGAAACGGAAATGAACCAGGAGGATAACTTTGCCCAACTGAGGAACAATGGACAGCCAACGGCCCCACATCCGCTGCCGATGCCCGAGTACGGTGGCTACTTTGCTCCGTTGACAGAGTTTTTGCCAGATGCGACCAGCCCCATCAGTGGATTCCATCGGTGCAATGTAGCCGTAATGTTACTAACAGATATAGTGGTGGACGGAATACCCGGACTGGATTGGACGTTGCATGTACCGCTTATGTTGCACATTCTATTTCTTGGACTGGATCATACACGGCCGATTGTGCGAGAGCACTGTAAAAAATTGCTGCTTAATTTATTGGTAAGTGGTTTTCTTAAATAAAACATCTTTTTTCTTCTGTTTAAAATGGATAAGGAAAGAAGGGGAAATTATCTAATACAGCCGTTTGAGCAATAGTTTCTTACAAATTGTTTTCAATTATTTATTAAAATCAACAGATTGTCCTCGCTGAGCACAACGACCACTTGAACGTAGCGAAAATCTTGCTGAACAGCGACACATTTAAGCTTCGATTAGGGTTAAGCGTTCCATCGCTACCCGTTATTGATCATAATTTCACCGAACCGGATCAAGAATTTGACAGCTATCTGTTCGGTTTAAATAGTAACGTTCCCCAGTGTACTCTTTCGCCCGCTTCAAACCAACCAAACGAAGAAATCCCCGTCCCAACGATCATCACTGAAGAGAATGCACCTCCCCAGCCGGGTCCGACGATGCCTACGGCGCATGTCATCAAAAGTCTTATTAAGTTCCTCTCCCATGACAGCGCTCAGCCGCTGTGGAACTACGAGGATATCACCGCGAAGGTGTGGACTATTAAGTCGGCGGAACAGTTGCAGTGCTTCCTTCGGCATATCGTGAAGGTGTTCTCTGACAGCTATTCTCACGCGAGAATCGCCGAACGGTGGGCACAGACGGCGTTGCAGTTGGGGCTTAGCTGCTCCTCACGTCACTATGCCGGACGTAGTTTGCAAGTGTTCCGCTCGCTCAATGTGCCGATCAATTCGCGCATGCTGAGCGATATTCTATCGCGGCTGATCGAAACAGTTGCCGAACAGGGAGAGGACATGCAGGGTTACGTCACGGAACTGTTGCTGACCCTCGAGGCTGCTGTCGATAGTTTAGATTCGGACTTTAGACCGCTGGATGTGATGAAGGACATATTTAAGAGTACACCGAACCTGAACAACAAGGATGGGGCTATTTCGAATGTATATGGGAACAAGAGATCGAGTGATGGCATACCAGGGTCTCCTCAAACCATGAACAACATGCTAACTGGAGGGCACACTCGAAGCACAAGCTATTCTATTTCGTATTGCTCGCGAAAGGCAGCAAATTCACCAATCGATAAGCAGGTTGAACTACGCAATCGATCCAACGTTCTGGAACTGGAGCGTAATTCCAACAAATTTGGGTCTTCTCTATCCAGGTCACGAAGCGCACAAAGCTTGAAACTGCTGGGTGACACAGCTACTCAGGACGACAAGATGACCATTTTAGCACAATTGTTCTGGTTGGCAGTTTCTCTACTGGAAAGCGACTACGAGCACGAGTTCTTGCTAGCACTGAGATTGTTAACGAGAGTGCTTCACAGGCTCCCATTGGATCGCCCAGATGCTCGCGATAAGGTGGAGAAACTACAACAACAGCTAAAGTGGTCCACATACCCAGGAATGCATGCCCTTCTTCTGAAAGGTTGTACCCATTCCATAACCTATGAACCATCGATTGCAGTACTCTCGCAGTTGTCACCTCTTTTGAATCTACCAGTTTGCGATCCATCTCAGAGTTGCGCCTTCCCGATGAATGTGATCGCTTTGCTTCCGTACATGCTGCTACACTATGAAGATGCTAATGAAATCTGTATCCGAAGTGCGGAAAATATAGCACAAGTTTCCTCCGAAATGGGACTGAAGTTGGAAAATCTCGGAACGGTCATGACTCTGTACAGTAGGAAAACCTTCAGCAAGGAATCGTTCCAGTGGACAAAGTGTGTTGTCAAATATCTGTACGATACGTATGCTCACATGGGATTGCACATGTTGGCATTTTTGACCGAAGTCATAGAGAAAGGACCGAGCCAGATCCATCTGCAGGTGTTGAGTGTGATTCATTGCATGCTGCACTACATCGATCTCTCATCGGTACAGGCACAACCAATAGCTGGAGATCTGCTGCGAGTTATTTCCAAGCATCTTGATGTAAGTAGAAATTGTGTTGGTTTATTGGGACTTAACTAAACAACGGACAGACCGTCTCCTATTTTCAAAAAACTCTGTATAAGGGGAATTTTGTTTTATTATCGGACAGGTTCGGGCCGAAGGGTCTCAGAAAGTTATATGAACGAATTAATTTCCTTAAATTTGGGGTGTTTAATTTTCCCGGAAAATTTTAGTTGCACTTTTCGGATTTTCCCAGACGTACTTCGAAAATTCATAATTCATGTAGGTACCTACCATCGCATCGTAGAAAGAATTTTGTGCAGTAAAATGATATTTTTTTTTGTTGGTATCATTCGTCATTCGTGACCTATCCGGGGTGAGATTTGAACTCGTGACTTTGGCGTGAGAGGCAGGGATGCTAACCACAACGCCGGGGTCGCCCCCCATGTGAAATAAATTATCTATCAAAAAATTAAATCAGAAAAATGTTTTGCACGAATATTTTCACGGTGGAGGCAGATCGGGAAAATTAACAACCACGATTTTTCGATTATACCTATAACCATAAACTACCGTTAGCAATATTTCATAAAATTCTAAGACGCTTCGGCTTATTTTTTCCGATAATTATAAATGATCCTCAAAACTGAAGTTTGGCCATTTTGAGTATTGACGCTCGCTTAGTTTTCAAAATGGCATATTTACAGCTTTCAATATAACAATACACGAACTGTCTTTTGTAGTCAAAATGACGTCTGAGATGAAGTTGTAAGAAAATAGATGGGCTTTACAGAAAAAAAAATCGGCTTTGCCTCAGTCGATATTATGATTAAAAGAGAGCTTTCGTGCTGTGCTATGAGTTATTAAAAAAGAGTTTACTGTTGTCGAATACGCCATTTTAAAAAATGAGACGAACATCGAAATATCCATGCTCCAGCATAAATTTGAATGATTCCCCATTAGCATATCATTATGTCAAGTTTCATGGAAATCGTAGAGGGTTGAGTCTGAAATTCGTATTTTTGCTATTTGGTATGTAGATGCTCACATGCACCACATTCGCACACACAAGTTAAATTTATGGGTTAATAAAATTAAACAAGCAATATTGTTATCTGTGTCATCAATTCTATACCACACATTTATGCAGAGCCCCAACTGGAAGGAAGCATTAAAAATTCTTAAATTGGTCGTAACACGTAGCTCCAGTCTCCAAGTGGTACCACAATCAACGGAAAGCAGCTCATCCTACGCTAATTTCCACGGTAGCTATAGTGATTCGGAAGTGTTCTGCAAAAAGGAACTTGCTGGACGTACAATGGAGTTTTCCTTTGATGTATCGCAAACTCCACTCATTGGACGCAAAATTCTGCTCAAATCTGAAGGTGATAGCAGCTCTGCACTGGCACAAAACTCCAAGAACGGCCCCTCCGGTGCCCCGGGCAATGCTCATTACGGTCACGCTGGAACTCCAAATTCTCCCCGCCGCAGTGCAAGTTTGTCGCCGGCAGATACGGCACCCCTCAGCGGTTGGAAACGCCCCTGGATGTCACAGGTATGAATTCGTAGAAAGATTTTTCACGAGTGAAAGATATTCCTGCTGCAGTAAGGACAACGCACTTTCAATAATTATAGCATATATATAGGGTTAGGTGGGGCAAGATTGGTCGTCTACTTGGTTTATTAATTATTTTGACTGTCAACATCAGACTAAATGTATCATTGATTTAGACAAACAAATACATTAATAAATGTACAAGCTGACCCATTTTGCCTCGTGACACACTTTGTCCCACCTTACCCTATATATTCATGGCATCACAAACTTTTTTAATCTTGGATAAATTTCTTTCTGAAACAGGGACGAGTACGTGAGTGTTTGGTGAATCTGCTTACCACCTGCGGACAGCGAGTCGGGCTACCGAAAAGTCCATCGGTAAGTAACATTGATGAAATCGATAAAATCTTTCTTGTGAATTATGAAATTACTCATCTGCGTGACTTGCGGGTTCTAATGTGCTATTGGCAAACAATACAAATTCCCCCCAAAACCTCAAACTTTTGAGCAGATGCTCAAAAATTGAAGAAGAAAAAAACACTTTAGCGCAGCCTTTGTCCGTTTGTCAACAAGTTTCAAGATATTATGTTTCCTTTCCCCACGTTCCATTTCGCCTAACCCTCAGGATGATGTTCTTAGTTCGCTTTACTCCAAGGTAAACGGAAAGATCATGAAAAGTTGTCATTTTCTGTGCGCTTTTATTCGGTTTCCATTTAGCAGAGAAAACAGTTTCCGCTTTGTGACAAAATTTTATGTGTACTGGAAATAAAAGGGACTGCTTATTACACTTCTCCGGCACCAAGCCAATTGTGCATCACCACACTTCTTCAGTTTATGGGGGAGGGAGAAATAACGTAGTAAAAATACAGCCACAGCTCCGCACCTGTAAGCCAATCTCTTCATGGCAAAAATAAGCAAAGTTGGAAGCATTCACAGATTATAGCACTTTTTCTCTACACCCTTCGTTTTACATCACACACGATGCACAACAGTTGATATCACAACACTCCTACTCTTTCACCTGAGTTCGATGGCATTAAGTAAAATATATGACCTCGCAAAAATATACTATACGAAGTAAATATATACGTAACGGGGATGAAGTCTGCACCTGATACTTTTTAACGAGGGTCCTGCCTTTATTTTATAACTCTTACCTCAGGAGTGCTCAATCAAATTCAACTTTAAATGCCGATTTGGAACGGAAGATCCATTAAATGATTGGCCATCCCGATCCGATGCTCAGTCAGTTGTATGAAATGCTAGGATACTTAATAAACTCAAATGTAGATTTTACCGATGTGGTGTCTTGAAGATTTTGTTTTTTTTTGTTATAAAAGACAATTGACATCGTCTTCAATAAAAGGTTGCACACACTGAACATTTTACGCTAGACACCACACAACACCCTCTGGACCAGTAGGGAAATTTTCGGGTTCCGATTACCCGAATACCCATCATGATTTATACCAATCTTTGAAGAATAGTATTTCATAACCTTTCCATTCAGTTTCGAGACCGAATACGGAGACACCCGGTAAGTATAATGAGTCTTGTAGTTAGCATAATGTTGTCTTTCATTCTTAAAAAACCCGGATTGGATCATTCATTCATTTCGACTGGCACTGAAAAAAATCAATGCATGATCATATTTTGTAGGTTGAAATTACAAGCATATAATTGAATGTTCATTACGACATGCAGGGAATTTGTAATATTGAAAACATCCAAAGATTTTCAATAAATAGGGATATGGCGAAAATTTTGAGTTCTGTCTGTACTCAAAATTAAGAATATAAAACTTCAAATGCTGATTCTGGAAATTATTATTTTTTTATAGAAGTAACCGACGAAATCCTTACAATTTTCATGTTGGTTTTTAAATTTCTATTAGTATGCAACCTTTTGAACAGGCTTTATGCAGAACATTTTATATTAGTTGGAGGTGGTGCAATTTGAATGCATACCCGAGCAAAGTCCAGCATCAAAATGACAGCAAATTGATATCAAGTTTTGATATCAACATCAAACTGAAATCATAATTTGATTTCAGTTTAGACATTGACAAATTTGGAACCAATTTTTGTTTTCATTTTGCTCTACATTTGCTCTTTAAAAATATGTTGTTACGGGTTTGTTTTCATTGCCTTAGCATAAAATCAAATTGAATACTTATTTTGTTATCAACAGGAAAAATGGATAACAAATTTGGTTTTCAGTTTGCTCTCACTGATAGCAGAAATAGTTTTCAATGTGATGTCACAGGAAGATATGTTTGCTCTCAATTTTGATATTTTAACCGTTAAAACGACCAAAACGACAACAACCTGAGTAATCATTATCAGCGAAATCACAACATCAAATTTAGATTTCAATTTGATCTCAGACTTTGCTCGGGTAGTGTATCAATCCGCACCATTGGACATCGATCATGGATTTGGTAAGTTCGTTCATGTTGAAATATATTTGAATAAATTTAGTATAACTATAAGTGAATCCTTTTTGCTACCTGACGGGCGAACCTCGATCGCGCGTGATCTATTGTTGATTCGTTTTGAGGGAGATAATAGATACCGCGATTGCGATCGAACATACAGACTTGGTACTAAAACAAAGGGGCTCGCTTGTCAAGTGCCAACCGTTTTTCCTTTCTGAGCAGAAGATCACTGAACCAGGCCTTTAAATTACTGAGCTGATAGGATCGCATCCTCGGATCATTTTCTTACCATGCTTTTGGAGATCCCTTTACTTTCCAAAGTGAAATCAAATCTAATTCACACTTCCCACTAAGAAAAGCGTCCTTCGTGTGACAATCGTGGAGATCCAGATGTATACTCGGTTTCTTGTAAGAACGGGAATCGAACTAACAACCTCCCGGATGACCGTAAAGGCGCTGATATTAATCTTGAAATTACAGGTTCACCGGAGTTTGCACAATGAATATGGACTGTATATCCCAAGCCTAGCTGGATCGATCATCAGTGCTCATGTTCTCTACTCATGCTCACATTGCTTGCTCATTGAGTTTTATGAGGTAGTACAGCATCAACTCGATTATAGTTACTTATGGTGTGTTTTGAGAATCTTGTCGTCGTCGTCATCGGTACCGGTGCTGGTTTAAAACCAAAAAAACGTGAACGTTTGAAATTTTAAGTGTATGGTGTGTTTGAAAAAGTTTCTTGAAATCTAATTGTCTAACTAGAAGTGAGATAATTTTTTTTTTCAAAATGGCAATATAATTATTTGGTGTCTATTGCGGAGAGGTGCTGGCGAAAGCCATCGGACCGACTCTTTCAGCAGAAAAGACATAGTTTTGATGTCTTTGAGCCAGCTACAAATCTATAATAATATATTTTTTAACTTATATAAACATTATATAATATTACTTACAAATTCGGTAACTGGTTATTAGAAAACAATTGATTCCAACCGGCACCTCTTTAGTACAATATCTTCACGATTGTATTCAGTATTCATTATTAGATTATCGGTCAACAGATATTAGGGATGATCACTTTTTAAATTGTTCAATTCTGAAAAGCGCAAATTTAGGCAACAGTGTCCTTAGCTAGGTTGTAGATCTTATTTTATATTTTTATTTTGTTATGAAACGATACTAGAAGGCAAGAACATGTATTTATGTGGTGATATATGTTGCGAAAATGGTGAAAAAAAAATTCACTGCCTACAGATGGGAATCGAACCCACACCACCCAGTACTCTAGACGGGCGCTCTACCACTATGCTACCGTAGACTTGACCCTCATCAATCTCTCTTCTGCAATCTTCTTTTCACAATTTTTCGCCACATATCTCACCACATAAATACTTGTTCTTACCTTCTAGAATCTTTTTATAACAAGTAGAAATAGGTTTACTCAGTAATTTACCCTTGCAGTAGAACTTTTCATTGTTATACAAATTTACTATTATAATATAGTGTTCTGCAAAATTCTGCAGAAAGCAAAAATTCACAAATTTGTGGAATAAATTATCTATTTTTTCTTATTTCAGAAATATATTGATTTTTTTTATCAAGAATGACCCATTTTTTCCGAGCACAAAGACCACGTGGATCTGAAACTAGATAATAAATACTACAAACTCCATAAGGTTTCATTTGCATCTCATTGTATCCGGATAAGTTATTTATGTAGAGAGATTCATTAAATATAGGCACTATTATGGTAGTATATTATCTATTTATTCGCAATGAATCAGGTATTTCAGAATCAGCATCATCACTTAAGTCATTATAATCTAATAGATATTTAACATCAGGCGACATTATAAGCTCTGATTTACGTGTTAATAAATGTTTGCTTGAAATCAATGGATCCGATATCTCAAGCAAGCGATGAAGTACATCGGTATTCGTTGCAATCCGCGAATTTTTTTCTCTTATTGATTTCTCGTATTCTTCTTATTATTTTGTTTAACGACTCCTGCTCTTCTTTCGAAAGCTGTCCGATAGGGATCATGATCTCTGATCCGTGCATAAGTACCTTATGGACAGAGGCAGGTAGATATCGGTGTTCGTTGCAATCCGCGAATTTTTTTCTCTTATTGATTTCTCGTATTCTTCTTATTATTTTGTTTAACGACTCCTGCTCTTCTTTCGAAAGCTGTCCGATAGGGATCATGAAGTGATCTATGATCTCTGATCCGTGCATAAGTACCTTATGGACAGAGGCAGGTAGATAATACCACGGATATAATTCAACAAACCTTCGCGCAGTTGCAAGGCAATATTCGTTGAATTTTGCTCCATTCATTTTTCCTTCGCTTTTCCAGATCGATTCCTATAACATAAAAATAATTTATTTCAATAATGCGTATACTTATAATATGTTTATTTACCTATGATTTTTGAAGTTTTTTCTGCGTACCGCCAGGCGTGGCGGTGTTGCCGTCGTTCGATGTCCGAGCTCCGCTTGCACGTGGTTTATTAATATTTAATCTCATTTCGCTTTTGACCTTCCCCTGAATCTTACTTTCCTTCCTTTTAATTGTTCTACATCTGTTCCTCTAACTTGCCATTTACGTATATGCAATCTATACGACACATGAAGGAAGCACTCTATGAACCTAATCCACAAACCGTACTGGAATGCGCTTGCATCCGTAAGTCGTTGTTGTTCATTTCCTTCGGCTCCGCTCCACACAAATAACATCTTTGGGCAAATGCCGTTGAAGTAATTGCGTTACAAATTTTACCATCAATCATAGTTAATACCATTCCATACGTAACCCTCACGGTTCTACCAATAACTACAGTTTCGAAAGGTTCCAACTTAAGAACTTGTTCATTGACAATTTTTTGTTTTCTTCTCAGACACATCAGTTGTTTCCTTAATTAGTTAGTTGAATCCGTAGCG